CATCGATGTTTCCATCTCTCCCCACTTCTCCCTCCCTCTCTCTCTAAAATCAATAATGAAGAAACAAATTAATATATATATACATATATATATATATACACATATATGTGTGTGTGTGTGTATAAAATATCAATTTATACTTCCACGAAAAAGGAAAAAATTGTTTCCCACATATTTCACCAGCACTGAATATTATTAATCATTTGAATCTTTGCTGAACCAATAGCTGATAAATAATCTCATTGTTTCAATTCAGAAATATTTTATTACAGAGGTTGAACATTTTATATCTGTTAAATGTCTGTGAATTGTCTACGCTCTTTGCCCAAGAGGGAAGGACCTAATCTCTCATTAAATTTTTTTTTATCCTCACCCAAGGACACTTTTGCATTCATTGTCAGATAGAGCGGGAGGGAGAGAGGAAGAGAGAGAGAGAAACAGCGATGTGAAAGAGACACATTGAGTGGTTGCCACCCACACAACCCCAACTGGGGTGGGAACAAACAGCAACCGAGGTACGTACCCTTATCACTAAGGGAACCAAACCCGGGACTCTCTGGTCCGCGAGCTGATGCTCCAACCGCTGAGCCAAACTGGCCAGGGCTCTCTCACTAATTTTTAAGTTTTACTTATTAGGGTTATTAAACCTTTGTCGTGTGTTGAAACATTTTTAAAATTTGTGTATTTTCTATACAAGTTTCGTCTTAGCTAAAATTTTCATTCTGCACTTTACATTGTGGTTTTAAAATAAACTATTTTCATAACACTTACCCAAACTTTGACTTCTTTTTCTATTGTTTGATAAATTTGACTCATATTTCAAAGTCTAAATAAATTTCACCTCCTCTGTAACATAATTAACAGTCTTTCTCATGCACAATAAAGTGTTCCTTTTTTTAAAATGTGCCTTAAAATATATATACATCTATATGAGCAATTTTCATAAGTAATTTTACATACCCTTGATTTAATGTTATATTATGGTCTTCTCAAAGCTAGAGATCATGATTTGTTCATCTGTATCATAAAAAAAAAAAAAGTAGCATATAGTAAATGCTAAAGAAATGCTTTGGGCTAGACCCAGTATATCAAGATGAAATCTTACATAGATCCTGGGTCATATAAGATGTAGGGCAATCTGCTAGGTGCTGTGGCCTAAGGCTTTCCAAATACAAACACACTACCTGATTTTTGATATGCAGAGCTAAGAGTCTTCATGTACATCTCGGCTACTACAGTAAGAATTTATAAAAATAGTGTTTGATAATTACCACGAAAATCCCTAAGAACAAAATTAATTCAGCTAAACAGGATTTCTTTCAAAGTATAAAGAACAAAAAAAGGCAAAATGAAGAATTATGTCATTTTGGGAGAACATTTAGGCGTTGACATCATTATCCACCTCTTAAAGACACAACAGACATGCGTAGACAGTTGACAAATAATGCAAAGCTGAGGTATAAAGTTATACATCAGACAACAGAATCCAGAGCCAGTGAGGACCTTGCTAATCCAACGCGGCACATTCCTCAGTGACATTAAAAGCATTCTAATGAAGAAGACACACACCCTCTACAATTCAAATTTCCTTTGTTAATCATCAGAACAACACATTATGATCCCATTTGATGACTAGATGTTACGGTGGAGGGCATATCAAAAATCAATACAAATAGGATGACATTCTTAATGTCAAAATTTCTGTCCTTAATGACTTGTTCCTTTCAGGTCTACAGATTCACATTTCTTGCACAGTAAAAGAATGCTTGGCTGAGATCTCAATTTTTTTTTTATATATTATATTCAAGAGGAAAGAACTTTATGGACAGAGTTTTGGAACTATATAGCTATTAACCTATACACAGAAAAGTAAAAAACATGCTACCAAGTAATGGAACGAAAGGGTCCCATACCAGTTGCAGCAGCTGTCACTTTAGAAGGACGAGGATCTCAGGGGACCCTAAATCATACTCTCCAAACTAGAACACTAATTACAACCTGAGGAAGTCCACTACCTTCCCATCCTGTTGCTTGGAACTGTTGTTATTATCTGCTTCCATCTATGTGGCTTTCACACATGGACATGTAGAGGGTGTAGGAATAGTTGTAAAACAGAATTACACCCAGGATTTGCATAGAACGAATTCATTAGCACTGTTTCAGTTCTCTGGAAACAAACACAAGGTAGCCACAGATAGGCAAGTTTTCACAACATAATCAAGTTCATTCTTCCTCTAATGTGTATATTTCTTTCAATACTGTTGTTTCCAACAAACCTATTTTGTTTCCCCTACTGACCAAACTCCATATCCTTTTGTTTTCTGAATCACTGCAATCCTTCACTTCTCTCCAATGTTTCTACTCTGAGTCTTAACTCCTACTTTCTTGTTACCCTCAATTTCATCTGGTAAACAAACACTTTCAAGCTCAAAGGCGCGAATAAGTGATGGTCAAACCCTGTCTCATTCCTAGTGAGCAACAGTGTCCTACTCTGTTCAGAGGAGGGAAAAGTATGCATGACTGTCCCACGGGGAAGGTTTCCCACACAGCATCCCTAAAGATCACAGGGAAAACAGAGCTCACGTTCCGTCCAGTGTAATTCTTTGGAGGAAGAAAGTTGTTTTGGACAGGGCTGTTTAAGAGAACTTTTAACTTCGATAACTTCTAAGCCTCATTTTTTATTATTCTCTTCAAAAAATCTATTATGTGCCAAATACTGGACATTACAACATATGGTCTCTGTACCCTTTAGAGACAGAGAAATAAACAACTATGCTATTAAGTAATAAGTAACATGGCTAAAAATTTACCTAGGTTTTTGCTTCAGAGGAATGGTCTCTCATTCTGAGTGGTGGATTAACAGTGATACAAAAGTTCTCCCAGAAAGGGCAGGATAAACTGGGCATTGAAGGATGGATAGAAATTGGCCAGAGAGGAGCAAAAAACGAAAAAGGGTATTCTCAAAGAGAAAGTGTCTAATAAAACAAAGAAGAAATAACATGGCATGTTAAAAAACAAAACAAAAACAAAAAACTTCAGTATGTAAAAATATAATAATACGGACTGTAAATTAAAAGGCTTGATTCTTAATTTTAAACTTTAGAACTTCTGCCCTGACCGGTTTTGCTCAGTGGTTAGAGCATCAGCCCTCAGACCTGAGAGTCCCGGGTTCGGTTCCCGCTAAGGGCATGTACCTCGGTTGCAGTCTGTCCCTGCCCCGGTTGGGGTCATGTGGGTGGCAACCACTCAATGTGTCTCTCTCAAATCGATGTTTCTCTCTCTCTTCCCCCCTCTCTCCCTCCCGCTCTATCTGAAGATAAATGCAAAAATGTTCTCAGGTGAGGATAAAAAAAAAAAAAGAACAAAAAACTTTAGAACTTCAGCTTGCTTTAATAAGTTTAAGAGTCAGAACAGAAAATCTCTGGAGAGAGAATATGAAAAGATAAGTTTGCCCAGGAGGCTGCTACTTATCAATTTAAGAGACAGTCTTATTTCATGAATTGGGGGTATTTTTAAATCACTGTCAAATCAGAATTTATACACCTTTATATTCAACAATAATACGTTTCGAGGCCTCGAATGACCTGTCCCTTGAATGTATCTGTCAGTGTCTTTTCAGCAGCTCAAGGATAAATGAGAACTGTCTTCATATTAGAATGGAAGGAGTCCCTGAAGAAAAACATTTTTTTCTTTTATCAATATAGTGTCAAAGCATCAGCATATTTGCAAAGTTACAACTTTCTATTTTTGTATGTTTGTTTATTATTGACAGTATTACAGATGTCCCTGTTTCCAGCACCTAGGCCTCCTGCACCCAACAGCCCCCCCCCCCCAAGACCTTCGCCACACTGTTGTCTGTGTCCATGTGTCTGTGGGCTATGCATATATGTTCTTGGGTTAATTTCTGTTCTATTTCCAGGCAAGTCATACCAACACATCCCCTTAGGTTCTTTCTTGCGTGCCATTCCTTACAAAAAGTATTTGACGACCCCACCAAGAAAAGCACCCTCTTTAATCACATCAGCAGAAATTTTATGGCATTCCACCCTCTTTCTGGTTCTTTTTTCTTTCTTTCTTTCTATCTTTCTAGAAGTTTCTTTTCTTTTCTTTTTTTTTTAAAGTTATACAGAAAAAGCAGCAGGACTTGTGTGGTAAATAATTCTTTTTTAAGTAATAAAAAGAAGAAGAAGAAAAGAAAACTCGGCAGCATTATGGGCGGCACAAATAAATACAGGGGATTTCATCTATACATCTCAGAAAAGCATTTACCCTCATTAACCCATTATGCTCATTAGCTGTCTGGGAGGGGTGTGGCATGTAAGGTCTCACCATTGACAGGTGAGAAACTGAGGCCTAAGGTCATACGTGACTCAGTGACAAAGCCAAAAGAAAGCCTGTTACATGTATTTATTATCTTCTTTCTCCCGATTCCACTGTTAGGTAATGAAATGTGTGTTCTGATGTTTTCTCTCTCTCCCATTTTTTTCGTGTGGAAGGCAACCAAAAATTTTCGGTGGCCTTGCTTTGGCAAGGCAGGTAAATAAAAAATAATAATAATAAAAATGAAATGTGTGTTCTGAGGGAATTTACTTTACCCTCCTTTATTAAAGAAGGATCGTTCCACAAGAGAAACAGTCTGCCATTAGTAGAAAGCCCTTTGAATAGAATTCAGATCTAGGTTCTGGTTGTCTCTACCAGTAAGACCTTGGGCTGGTACCATCCTCTCTAAATCAAAACACACCCAAAGTGCAATTCAGATACAGGATGTAAGAAAGTATTTCCAAGACCCCTCCCCCACCTCAGTGTGAACATGTGCATTATGGAGAGTTGAGGCAGACCCAGAATCCACGAGCTCCTACATTTCTCTCTGCTGTCACTTTCCAATGGCCTTGGCCATTCAGAGCCATCTTCCTTTTCTTTCATATGCCATGAAAAAGACAGGTTAGCAGAGGTGTGGACAGCATGGCTCACACATTCAAGGAGAGGTCCTTGCCACTCACCCACATGGGGTCACTCAGGTCCGAGTCCTGCATGTGGATACAGTCCATGCTAATCTCAATCTTGTTTGTTGCTCCATTTTCTGATGGTTCATCTACAAAGTTCAAGTCAATGGGCTGAACTGAACATATGGGCCTACCATAGAGGGAAAAAAAAAAAAAAGTTTGTTAGGAGTGGAAAGGAACTATAGCACACTCACCCAGTAGGTAACCGTGTGTTCTGCCTCAAAGCTGGCAAGGCTCAGTGGTTGCAGTCAAAAACTCTAAGTTTGAAACCTGGCTTAGCCACTTAGCAGATGTGTAATCACAGGCAGTTCAAATTTAAACTATTAATAAAATAGTAAAATAGGAATTAGTAAAATAGGAATTATAAACCCTGTCCTCATCAAAGAATTTCTGGGTGAAACACAGGAAAGAACAAATGTATCAGGGACTGAATATTTAATTACTCTTTTTTTTTTTTTTTTTTAATCCTCATCCGAGGGTATTCTTCCATTTTTTGTACAGATAGAATGGGAGGGAGAGAGAGGAAGGGGGAGAGAGAGAGAAACATCGACGTGAAGGGACACATCGAGTGGCCGCCACCCGCACGACCAACCAGGGCCGGGGACAAACTGCAACTGAAGTACATGCCCTTAGCGGGAACCGAACCCGGGTCTCTCCGGACCGCAGGCCTACGCTCTAACCGCTGAGCCAAACTGGCCAGGGCATAATTACTCTTTTCTTCAGGGTCCCCAGGGCGCGGATATTCACACACCGTCCCTTTAATGTACTCATTTATCCAATCCAGCTCTCCAGAAAGTAGATAATAACCCTTCCCCTAGCGAGACATAAATGACCAAACAAATTCAGTGTTTTATTTTCTCAGGGGGATAGTTGCATTGTAAGAGTAAATAAAAGGTCTTTAAGCCAAAGGGACAGAGTGTGAGTACCAGGGAGTTGAAGGGAAAGTTATTTTGAGTTGGGCGACCCCTTCTGATCTTCCAAAACACCATCACCTTGGAATAAAAAAAAGATCTTTTGGTGTTGGAAAATGAATAAACAGACACTGCATTTTGAACACAGAGACACTATTGGAGAAATAAAAATGTCCAACGATATTAACTGATTTTTATTGATTCCAGAAATATGTCCTACTAATAGTATATTTTGTCCATTCATCATTACCTATTTATACTAGTTCAAGTATAACACTTATTGATGATTTGATACTTACTGTTCCAGAAAATCCCAGATATGCTGGAAAACCTCTGGACTGAGGAATTCACTTGTCTGTGTGCTCTGGGACATAGTGGGTCGATAATAACTTTCTTTCCAAGAGAAATGAGCTGGGGTTTCTACGAACCTTAAAAGGACAAAAAGGAAACTAGGATTATAGTTTCTGTATTTATGAATACAGAATATTTTAATTAAATTATTCTTGATTAAGAAGAAAAGTCAAGTGAATCTTCAAAATCATGCAAGCACACACAGTAAATGTTACAAGCTGCACAGTGTGTTTCTTCAGTTAGTGTCACAGATCTCATCGTGCAATAAAATCAATCGCGCCTTCTATGGAAGCTCCTCTTTTTAACTACTAATGTGGTTACACCTTTCTCTTCTACTAGCCAACATCTATGTTCTGTGTGTTTCAAAAAGAAAATAAACATTCCCTCATTAAGTCTGACAGCAAGTCTGACCTATTATTAAACCCATTTCATAAATGTCTTAACTGATCATCTGCTCATTCAGCCTCCAGCAAGTAAAAAGTAGAATCAGAAAACAGAAGCAAGTTCAGAAACCTAAATTTCACCCGCAGCATAATCACACCTCTCATAACTACCATCTTAGCATCATGCCCAGGGACAATAAACTCAAGTTTCTGGTCCTAGACTTTTTTTTTTTTTTCCTTAATCACTAGTTACCTACTTTGATGTGTGTGTGGGGGTGGTTTTTAATTGGAGTGTGGAATTCTAGTTAGACTAAAGAATAAGTAAACATCTGAATACATTGCAAATGAATCCTATTTCTGTTTGCTTTATTTGGTTGCTGGATCCTCAGGTTTGCCTTTACATTAAAAAACATTAACCTTGATCTCTATATATGTGAAGGAAAACATCAGATTTCTCAGGTGACGCTTTTTCCAAATCTACAAGTTATCTGCACGGATCTTAGCATGTAGTTCTTTGTCATTATCAGTAGACTAATTTTATCCCAGGATGAAATTACCTAAGCTGTTAACCATTACTTTTATTGTTACAAAGAATTAAATAAATAGTGTGCTAGAATAGCCAATCATTTAAAATTTGCAAATGAATGCTCTGGTCTAGTTACATAATAGAAGATAACAGCATTGAATTTATGGTTGATGATTTCAGAGCCATATGAAGAAGCACTTTCATTTACTCAAGTCAAACATTATACATAGAGAGAGTGTCTATTATTTGCCAGGAAGTATATGAGCACTTGTATAAAAACGTGAATAAGATGCTTTCACCCTCTCAAAGGTCATGATGTAGAAGGTAAGACAGGAAAACAAACCTCTAATAAACGTAGTAAAAATGTGTATAACACTATAAAAGAACAAAGACGAAATATATTATTCCATCTGAGGGGCCAAGGAAAGAGCCTTAAATGATAAGACATTAGCCAAGCAGGTAAGAACTAATGGCATGAGTGAGCAGTCTATGGCAATAGCATAAACAAAAAACTAAAATGGAAAATAACTTGATGTATGTAACCTGTAACTCAACTCCTGTGTTAGTACACAGCAATAACTTGGGGCAGAGAATGCTGGGAGAAAAAGTTGAAGAGGTAAGTAGAAATTTGTATGCTATGTTAAAATAAAAGCTTCAATACTTCAATATTTCTAGTGAATACTGAAGAATACCTTTCAATGTATTTTTTTTCTTTATTGATTTTTTTTAGAGAGAGGAAGGGAGAGGGAGAGAGAGATAGAAACATCGACGTAGAGATCATTGATTGGCTGCCTCCTGCATGCCCCCTACTGGAGATTTGGCCCACAACCTGGGCATGTGCCCTGACCGGGGATTGAACTGACGACCTCTTAGTGCATGGGTCGATGCTCAACCACTGAGCCACACCAGTCAGACTTCAGTGTATTTTAAATAAACTTTTTATTTTGAGATTATGATAGATTTACATGCAGTTATAATAAATAATACAGTGAGTCCAAGGACCCTTTATCCAGTCCCCCCCCCCCCCCCGCAATGGTAACATCTTGCAAAACTACCAGATAATAGCAAAACCAGGATATTTCCATTGATACAATCCACTGACCTTATTCAGAAATTCTTATTTCATTTCATAGAATGAAATACATACAAATGTGTGTGTTTCTGTATTTAGTTCTATAAAGATTTCTATCACATAGGTTAGTGCATCCACCTCTACATTCTTAAAGGGTTTGAAGTATGAGACCGGCACAGTCAGCATATGTTTTATGTCAATACAGCTGAATGTTGTGTGAAGGAAGGGTTTAGAGCAAAGCAGTTTGTAGGCAAAATGGTTATTTAGGAGGTGGCTGCACCCGTCCAGGCAAGACAGCAGGATGATAGCAGAAATGGGGATGCAGAGGATGGGGACACATTCAATTACTAGTGAAAATGCTAAATTAGATATTGTGTATTTACTAATGAAGGTAGAAGAAAGAGTTAAATGTGATTTCAATTTCCCGCTTTCTTGGACTGAGTGGTTGAGGACTCCACTAACTAAACTAGTAAATACAGTTGGAAGCTCTGGTTTAAAGAGAAAGGCGAGATGGTGAGTTCTACCTTAGCATACCGCGTTTGAGGTACCCACAGAATAAAGAACAAAGTGAAGCAGACAGTTGAATAAGCTAAAACGTCAGGACGACGAATGGATCAGAAGTGGAGAAGTAGCAATCCTTATCATAAGGTAAAAATGAATCACGAGAGCGGATACAGTGAGCTGTGCACAGCCGGGGCAATGAGGAGAGGGAGGGCCCTATTTGGAGAGTCTGAGAACTAGGGAGTTTGTGAGAAGACACTGAGAAGGTGGCTCTTGGAAGCCAAGGGAAAACATTTTTTAAAAGGATCGACACGACTGAATGTGGCAGAGGGAGCCAGGAAGGTAAGACCTGTAAAACATCTACTAGGTTTCATCCACGTGGGTCACTGGAACCCTTGACACTAACATCTCCCACAGATGAATGAGTGAAAGCACAAAGTAAATTTGAGTGGCTCAGGAGTAAACAGGGCTGAAAGGAAAATGTTCTTGTGATACATTTAGATGAGAAGAACTTGAATTATACTTAAAGAGGCAAAGCAGAAAGGAAGCGGCCAGTAAGGAGAGTAATTTAAGATCCTGGAAAGAAACGGAATGGCCCCGAGGCAGGCCCTGAAAGATGCAGACAGGATAGGAAGGAGTTAAGAGCATAGGTTGAGATGACAGCCATGAACTTAAGCCACTAAACCCCTCATTGCAGGATGAAATAAATGAGACAAATTTAAGGGTGGATATAAATGTCTTTACAGGAGACAGAAGTCATGCCTGATAGACCCCGATGGGCCCAGCTTTCTTATTTTGAAATATATTTTATTTTTCCCATCATCCACTATGCCCTCTTCCACCTCCAGACCCCTCCTCCTACCCACTCAGTCACACTGTTGTCCGTGTCCATGGGTTCTCTCTCTCTCGTTTTTTTTTTTTCTCAATCCACCCCCAATAACCAACCATCCCACCACCATCACCCCACCAGGGCTGTATGCCTGCTCTCTGTCTTTGAGTCTGTCTCAATTTTGCTTGGTAGTTCAGTTTGTTATTTAAATTCTACATATGAGTGAAATTACAGGGTACTTGTCTTTCTCTTACTGGCTTATTTCACTTAGCATAATGTTCTCCAGGTCCATCCATGCTGTCCCAAAATGTAAATGTTTCTTCCTTTAATGGCAGAGTAGTATTCCATTGTGCAAATGTACCACAACTTTTTTATTCACTCATCTACTGATGGACATGGGTTGCTTCCAAACCACAATGAGATATCACTTCACACCTGTCAGAATGGTTATCAATCAATCAATCAATCAATCAATCAATCAACAAGTGTTGGTGAGGATGTGAAGAAAAGGTAAATCTCGTTCACATTTGGTGGGAATGCGAATTGGTACAACCACTGTGGAAAGCAGTATGGAGTTAGCTTAAAAAATTAAAAATGGAACTGCCTTGTGACCCAGTGATTCCACTTCCGGGAATTTATCCAAAGAAATCGGAAACACTAATTTAAAAGAATATATGTACCCCTATGTTCATTGCAGCGTGGTTTACAATAGTGAAGATTTAGAAGCCCCGTTTTTTTTGTTGTTGTTGTTTTTTTATGAAGCAGGAGGCAAAGACATCTGCTAAAAATGATGAAATAAGGCATTGAGTAGCTAGTTGGAGGTAAAAGATCAGGATTTAAAAATATGGGTGAGGTTAGAAAACATGAATCTCCCATGGTCTCAAATTGCACAGTCCTGTGATTCGCTGGTTTGTGCCATCTGAGAACAGTAGGAGAAAGATGGATGAAACACCATCATTAGAGAACTGTGCAGACGAGCTTGAGATCCACATTGAAAAGGGGCTGGGACAGGGTAAGAATGGAGGAATAAGGAAACCAGATGCCTTTATGAAGTCAGAAGGCATTATTTATAAAGGGAATAAAGTGAGAAATTTAAACTCTTGGAAATGGAAGAGTGGGCCATCAGAGTTTACGTTGTCCCCAGTGATAATCCCCCCAAAATGTCCCGATAATTAGAAGAGCGTCTGAAAATGCATTACCTTTCCACGGAAAGGGTAAATTAATCTAATTTGTTTTCTTTTGGGAGTTGGGGCAGACTTGGTTTGTACATTCCCAACTAGTGAGTAAAAAGAAAGTGAAACTTACTAGATCTGATACTGAACAGAGAATTATGGAGAATAATTCCATGGCTAACATTTTTAGGTAGGCTTGATTTACACTAAAAATGTTCTTCAGATAAAACTGAAGGAGAAAAAGAGGGGAACATAAAAGTAAAAGAAATGTGTCACCAGTGACAAATATGGAGGCGAAGAAATGGATTAGCCAAACCCCGAAGTGAGAGCAAACTCTATGAATTGTCATGTACGCTGACCCACAAGCACACCCAAAGACCTACACATGATTGGCAGCCTGATAGCCAGGTGAGCAGAACATAAACACAGAACACAAAGTAGAATCTCAGCAATAACGATACTCATTATGTGAGAATCAATACAATAAAAGTGCAAGTTTTTAAGTTGGCAGAAATGTAGTTGTAGTTTCTAAAAAGACTGGTAGCTTTTGTAACCTAGATCTTAAATAACAAAA